AGTCGCTTAACCAACTGAGCCACCTAGGCGCCCGGAATTTCTCCTTTTGATTATATATATATATATATATATATATATACACACACACACATATATATGAATGATTACATATGATATCCTAGTGTATATTTATATATTATATGATTGTTATATAATGAAATATATATGATTGATTTAATTTGTTTTAGCTCTGTTGCCTTTCTCTACTAATTCTATGGACCACTGCTTTGCACAAAGAAAAAAGATTGTAAGAATCAGAATATATGTGGTCACCCTCATCTTCAGTAGCCAATGTCTTGCACTCTGTGAAGTCCTGGGATAACGTAGATATTGACATGAGTGAACTCTTTGTCCCTTGCTGTACTATCTCCATAAACTTACTGAAGGATTCTGGGATGGAGTTGGTAGATTGTGATTAGGACCCATAAGATTCTAATATTTAATATGAGCTCACATGTGGCCATTAAAGTCATTTAAAACATCAGCTTATTCCTCATTATCCCTATCTATAAGTGATCATTCCACTGGTCATCCACAGAAAAAAAGCAACTATGGATCACACACCCACTTGGAAAGCTCAGTCAGTTTCTGGATTTTACTTCTTTTAGGTTTATTTGGAATTCTCAACTTGCTAATATGTTTTCAGAGAATGATAATTTTGTAATTTATCTAGTTTGCTCTCATTGTTAGGGTGGAGAAAGACAATCTCTTATAAATTTCTACAATTTCAATTAAAAGTTGTCCAATACATATTTAATTTTAGGAGCCTAAAATAGGTGTAAGAGTTTTTCTTTAATCAATTTCATTTTATACTATAGATACTTGAGCTCTACTAAATAAAATGCTCCAAATAAAAATATGGAATACAAAGAAATAATATAGAATAATTCCTTATATTCAAAAATTAAAAAAAATCAGTTGAGCAGCCAACTCTTGGTTTTGGTGCAGGTCATAATTTCAGGGTCATGAGATTGAGCACCGCCTTGGGGTCCACACTTGGCAGGGTGTCTGCCTGAGAATTCTCTCTCTCCCTCTCCCTCTGCTCCTCCCCCACTCACACTCTCGTTCTCTCTAAAATAAATAAATAAATCTTTAAAATAATTATTTAAGAAAATAAGTGAAGCAACAAAAGAAAAAGTTAAATATCATTAGGCAATGATAAATTCTATGACACAGACAAGTCCCTATAGGAATTAAGATAAGCTATTTAGGCCTTAGCTTTTCTTATGGTTACTTCTGAAATCATCATAGATGAGAGGAGAAAGGTTGAACCTGGAATGTCTCTTGAGTCAAAAAAAGAAGGATGTAATAACACAAGGAAAACTTCATATACTGCTGGGTTCAGATCATTCATTTTTTATCCATGTGTATTTACAGAGCATGTGGGAGGCCTTAACCCCAGTATCATAAACTATATCAGGCCATAAGTAGCATTATAAGTAACCAGTACAGAGACAAAATAGTTTTGAGACATCCAGGTAATGGAAATGAGGCTAAACAAGTTTCATTAGAATAAAGTACTAGACCAAAAGGATTAAAAAAGGTATATTTATGTAGAAAAAAAACACAAAATTTCAGTTAAAGCAGTGGATGTAAACAGCATAAGACTAAATTAGCAAAGGCCAGAGTAAAACAATGAGTCAAAAATACCTATTAAGGGCGCCTGGGTGGCTCAGTCGTTAAGCGTCTGCCTTCGGCTCAGGTCATGATCCCAGGGGCCTGGGATCGAGTCCCACATCGGGCTCCCTGCTCAGCGGGGAGCCTGCTTCTCCCTCTGCCTCTCTCTGTCTCTTCTGAATAAATAAATAAAATCTTTAAAAAAATACCAATTAAAAAGCTGCTATATGATTTTGATATTGAGACAAGCATTGAGTCTAAGAGTTCCATATATATATTTCTACTTCTTATATAGGTATTGCAGAATCCAAATGTGAAGACAGCTGTGAGTATATAGTATAGTGGAACAGGAAAAGGAGCAGAATTGATCATTAAAACCATTCATGCTGTGAGATAACATCACCAAGATAACAGAGTAGGAGACTACAGCCTCCATCTCCCGACAAAGATCAACAATTAGACAGCAATGCATGAACAAAAACGGCTCTGGGAGAGCTCTGAAGTCCATTTAAGAAACTTCACCAATATGGTGGAACAAAACCTTGAGAATTACCACACAAAAAGAGAAGGAAGAACAGCTTCATTTTGGCTCTGTTACCCCATCCCCCAAACTGGCATTGCTCACCACCAAGAGGAAACTTCCCAGTTAGAAAGAGTTTCCCTTGACTGGGAAAGGAAGAGCTGGGTGAGCAATCAGCTTCTCCAGACTTTCAGGGCATCTCACAATGGACCTGCTTCAGTTTACCACCACTCAGCAACCAACAAAACTAAGTATAGAGAGAGCTGGGAATAAGGAAGAAAAGCAGAGGCTACCAGCATCAGCCACATAGCAAGAGGGAAAACTTCCCAGTGACCTGCTTTGCAGACCACTCCACCATCTTTTGCTACTAAAGAAATAAGGGCTAGCACAACCTCTGTAGACACCTATACATTTCACCAGTTCTTGCCTCACAGGTATTCATAGTCACTGATGCCAACAGTCTGAGTCCCTCCCTGCTCCCTAACCCCACCCAACCCATGCCAGAGCCTGAGACCTGCACTGACAGACAGCCTAGGCCTCTGTGGCCTCATTAGTCCAAAATGCAAGCCTAGATCCCTACACCTGACCCCTAATACTGTGTATATGCTTGGAGGTAGGCCCTATAGCTTCACTTACAGGCAAATGACTTGAGGCCCATCACTGGACTCCATTATCTTGTGTGCACCATGGCAAGATCTTATACCCATATAAGTGCATATAGAAAGCCAGGGCACCAATAGCCGCTTATGGACCTGGATCCAGCCCAATCTCCTGTCACTGGGCTGTACCATGTACTTACCAACATCTAGCTCCTCCAGCTGTGCGCTTTCACACCCCAGCCTGACTCCCAACAACAACCTCCATTGCCATATAGCAGTGGTGAGAACTACCAGCCACAGTAGCATGCAGTGACATCCAGGGCCCTTGAAATTGCCAGTGCACCCACAGTTGGGCCTGGTGTTTGCTGCTTACCTTGGACCCCATCACTACCTGTATATTTGCAATAGCCCCCATCACCCTACCTGCTGCTGACCCTTACAACCAAGTGTGTGAGCACCACTAGCCCCAGCCACCCTGTTGCCTGCCCTGGTCCTTAGCCACTGGACCTGGAAGTACCACTGAGGGACACAGCAACCCTTGCAGCCTCAGTGGATCACCCTCAGTTCTCACTGAGGACACACACAGTTGTCAATGCTTTCATACCCAGTGGTACCTGAGCTGATGTGCCACCACACTCCCTGGACCCAGAGCCACTGCACGACCACACACTTTTACCATTCAACCCAAGGTCACAGCACACTCCAGCCTGCCCCAACTTGCAGGTGATTGTCTTTTCTCCATGGGTGAATTCTGTCCAAATTTTTAAAAAGAAATAATGCCAATTCTTGTCAAGCTCTTCCAAAAAATTGAAGATGAGAGAATGCTCCCAAACTCATTTTACAAGGCCAGCCTTACTCTGATATCAAAGCCACATAGGATGCTATAAGAAAAGCAAACTACAGGCCAATAGCCCTGATGAATGTAGATGCAAGAAATTTCAACAAAACACTAGCAGACTGAATTCAACAGTGCAATGAAAGGATCATACACCATATCAAGTAGAATTTATCCCTGGGACGGTTCATCAAATGTAGATAAATAAATTCAACATCTTTTTATGGTAAAAACTCAATAAATTGTGTGAAGGAACATATGTCAACATAGTACAAGCCATATATGACAAGCCCATAGATAATATACTCACTGGTGAGAGATTGAAAGCTTTATCCCTAAAATGAGTAAGAAGACAAAGGTTTCCACTCTCACCACTCCTGTTCAGGATAGTAGTAGAAGTCCTTCCCAGAACAATCAGGCAATAAAAATAAATAAAATACATCCAAATTGGAAAGGAAGAAGGAAAATTGTCTCTGTTTATTCATGACATAATCTTGTATATAGAAAATCCTAAATATTCCACCAAATACTGTTAGACCTAATAAAGGAATTCAGTAATGTTTCAGAATATAAAATCAGCATACAAAAATCAGTTGCATTTCTACACACTAGCCATGAACTATTTGAAAAAGTCATAAAGAAAGCAGTAGTATTTGCAGTAGCATTAAAAGAGTAGAATACTTAAGAATAAGTTTAGGGGATCATTTTGCAACCTAGACAAATATGTAATCCTTATGTTGCATGCCTGAAATGAACATCATGTGATATGTGAATTTTATGGCAATAAAAAAGAGAGAGAGCTTTGGCATTAACACACACACACACACACACACACAAAAGAGTAAGTTTAACCAAGGAAGTGAAACATCTATACACTGAAAACTACAAAATATTGATGAAAGAAATTAAAGAACAAGTAAATGGGAAGATATAAATGTTCATGGATCAGTAGAATTAATTTTATTAAAATTTCCATACTACCAGGGTGCCTGGGTGGCTCAGTCATTAAGTGTCTGCCTTAGGCTCAGGTCATGATCCCAGGGTCCTGGGATCGGGCTCCCTGCTCCACGGGAAGCCTGTTTCTCCCTCTTCCACTCCCCCTGCTTGTGTTCCCTCTCTTGCTGTGTCTCTCTCTCTGTCAAATAAAATATTAAAAAATAAATAAATAAAATAAAATTTCCATACTACCCAAAGCCATCTATAGATTCAGTGCAATCCCTACAAAATACCAATGGCATTTTTTAAAAAAATAGGAAAAAAAATGCTAAAGTTCATATAGAACCACAAAAGGAACTAAAAAGCGAAAACAACCTTGAGAAAGAACAAAGCTAGATGCATCACATTTCCCAATTTCAAACTATATTACAAAACTATAGTAATCAAAACAGTATGAAACTGGCATAAAAACAATCACATAGACCAGTGGAACAGAAATAAACCCACACATAATATTTCACAAAGGAGCCAAGAATGCTCAGTGGGGAAAGGATAGTTTATTTCAATTAGCAATAATCGCGCCTCGGATAAACCTCATTGGCTACGATACTGCTACTGCGCAAAGCTGCAAGGATAGTTTATTTAATAAATGATCTTGTGGAAAGTAGGATAGTCACATGCAAAAACAAACAAAAAAAATGAAATTGGAAACCTGTATTACACCACTCACAAAAATAGAAACTCAAAATGGATTAAAGAATTACATGTTTTGACCTGAAATCATAAAACTCCTAGAATAGAAGACATGGAAAATGCTCCTTTACATTTGGCAATGATTTTTTTGGATGTGACACCGAAAGTACCAGCAACAGCAGCAAAAATCACCATTGGGACTATATCGAACTAAAAAGCTCTACAAGGCAAAAAAAAAAAACAATCAACAAAAAGGAAACAGCAACCCAAGGAATGAGAGAAAATATTTGCAAACCATATATCTGATAAAGGGTTAATATCCAAAATATGTAAGGAACTCATATGACTCAATGGCTAAAGAACAATCTGATTAAGAAATGGGCAGAGGAACTGAACAGACATTTTCCAAAGAAGACATCCAAATGGTCATGGAAAAAATGCTCAACATGACCAGTCATCAAGGAAATACAAGTCAAAACAATTAGATATCATCTCAAATCTGTTTAAATGGCTATTATTTAAAAAATAAGAAATACTGGCATGGATGTAGAGAAAAGGGAACCCTTGTGCACTATTGCGAGGAATAGAAATTGGTATAGCCACTATAGAAAACAGCATGGAGATTCCTCAACAAATTAAAAACAGAACAATCATATGATCCAGCAATCCCACATCAGGCTATATATCTGAAGAAAATGAAATCACTTTTTTTGTTGCTGTTATCCATTTGACTATTTTATTGTGACTTTGTATAAGGTGAATTATTTTTTCAAGTTTTTATTTTAATCACCCAGTGCTCATCATGAAAAGTGCACTCCTTAAAACCCATCACCCATTTCCCCCATCCTCCCAACCCACCTCCCTTCTGGTAACCACTCATTTGTTCTCTATAGTGAAGATCCTGTTTCTTGGTTTGCATTCTCTCCCTTTTTTATTCCTTTGCTCATTTGTTTTGATTCTTAAATTCCACATATGAGTGAAATCATGATATTTGTCTTTCTCTGACTGACTTATTTCACTTAGCATCCTTGCCAACCCTGTTGTTTCATGTGTTGTTAATTTTAGCCATTCTGACAGCCGTGAAGTGCTATCTCTTGTAGTTTTAATTTGTATTTCCTTGATGATGACTGATGTTGAGCATCTTTTCGTGTGTGTTAGTCATCTGGATATCTTCTTTAGAAAAATATCTATTCATGCTTTCTGCCCATTTCTTAACTTGATCATTTGTTTTTTGGGTGTTGTGTTTGATAAGGTCTTTATATATATTGGATACTAACCCTTTATCAGTTATGTATTTTCAAATATCTTCTCCCTTTCCATAGATTGTCTTTCAGTTTTGTTTATTTTTTTTCCTTCACTGTGCAGGAAACTTTTATTTTGATGAAGCCCCAATAGTTTATTTTTCCTTTTGTTTCCCTTGCCTTGGGAGACCTCTCTTTTCTAGAGAAGTTGCTAAGGCCAGTGGCAGAAAAATTACTGCCTATGCTCTCTTCTAGTATTTTTGTAGGTTTAGGTCTCACATTTATGTCTTCAACACATTTTGAATTTATTTTTGTGTATTGTGTAACAAAGTGGTACAGTTTCATTTTTTGCATCGAGCTGTCCAGTTTTCCCAACACCTTTTGTCAAAGATACTGTCTTTTTCCCATTGGATATTATTTCCTACTTTTGCAAAGATTAATTGACCATATAATTGTGGGTTTATTTCTGGATTTCCTATCCTGTTCTACTGATCTATGGGACTTTTTCTTGTGCCAGTACCATACTGTTTTGATTACTATAGTTTTGTAATATAACTTGAAGTCTAGAATTGTGATGCCTCCAGCTTTGCTTTTCTTTTTCAAAATAACTTTGGCTATTCAGGGTCTTCCATGTTTCCATAACATGTTAGGATTGTTTGTTCTAGCTCTGTGGAAAATGCTGGTGGTATTTTTTAATAGAATTTTTTAAAGATTTATTTATTTATTTGAGAGAGAGAGCATGAGTAGGGGGAGGGCAAAGGGAGAGGAAGAGAGAGAATCTCAAGCAGACCCCCTACTGAGCATGGAGCCCAACATGGAGCTTGATCTCAAGACCCTGAGATCATGACCTGAGCCAAAATCAAGAGTTGGTGGCTTAACTGACTGAGCCACCCAAGCACCCTACTGCTGGTATTTTGATAGGGATTACATTAAATGTGTACATTGCTTTGTGTAGTATAATAGACATTTTAACAATATTTGTTCTTCCAATTCATGAACATGTAATATCTTTCCATTTCTTTGTGTCATCTTCAATTTTTTTCATCAGAGTTTTATAGTTTGCAGGTATTTCACCTCTTTGGTTAGGTTTATTCCTAGGTATCTTATTATTTTTGGTGCAGTTATAAATGGGATTACTTTCTTAATTTCTCTTTCTGCTGCTTTATTTTTGGTGTATACAAGTACAACAGATTTTTGAAGTTTGATTTTGTATTCTGTGACTTTACTGAATTTGTGTATAAGTTCTAGCAATTTTTTGGTGGAGTTTTTAGGGTTCTTTATGTATAATATCATGTCATCTACAAATAATGAAAGTTTTACTTCTTCCTTACTGATTTTGATGCCTTATTTCTTTTTGTTGTCTATTGCTGTGGCTTGGACTTCCACTACTATGTTGAATAAAAGTGTTGAGAGTGGACATCCTTGTCTTGTTTCTGATCTTAGGGGAAAGGCCCTTAGTTTTTCCTCATTGAGGATGACGTTAGCTGTGGGTTTTTCATATATGGCCTTTGTTTCGTTGTGGTATGTCCCCCCTAAACCTACTTTCTTGAGGGTTTTATCACAAATGGATGTTATACTTTGTGAAATGCTTTTTCTGTGTCTATTGAAATGATCATATGGTTCTTATCCTTTCTCTTATTAATGTGAGATCATGTTTATTGACTTGCAATTATTAAACCACCCTTGCATCCCGGGGATAAATCCTACTTCATAATGGTGAATGATTTTTTTAAGTATTGTTGGATTTGGTTTGTTAGTATTTTGCTTGAGTATTTTGTATTTATGTCCATCAGAAGTATTGACCTATAGATCTCTTTTTTTGTGTGTGGTGTCTTTATCTGGTTTTGGTGTCAGGCTAATGCTGGCCTCATAGAATGAATTTGGAGGTTTTTCTTCATTTTCTCTTTTTTAGAGTAGTTTGAAAAGAACAGGAATAACTCTTCTTTAAATGATTGATAGAATTTGCCTGTGAAAACATTTGGTTTTGAACTTTCTTTTCCTGGAGATTTTGATTACTAATAATTCAATTTCTTTGCTGGTAATCATGGGTCTGTTCAAATTTTCTATTTCTTCCTGTTTCAGTTTTGGTAGTTTATATGTTTCTAGGAATTTATTTCTTCTAATTTGTCCAATCTGTTGGCATATAGTTTTTCATATAGTGTTTCATAATATTCTCTTATAATTGTTTGTATTTCTGTAGTTTTGTTTTTTTCTTCCCCCTAATTTATGGTTTTATTTATTTAAGTCCTTTCTCTCTTTTTTTGATAAGTCTGGCTAGAGGTTTATCAATTTCATTGATTTATTCAAAGTACCATCTCATGGTTAGGTTGTTATTTTGAGATTTTTCTTTCTTCTTGAGGTAGGCCTGTATTGCTATAAATTTCCCTCTTAGAACCACTTTTTCTGCATCCCAAGAGTTTTAAACCATTGTGTTTTCATTTTCATTTGTTTCCATGTACTTTTAAATTTCTTCTTCTATTTCCTGGTTGATGCATCATTGTTTAGTAGCATGTTATTTAACCTCCATGTATTTGTGGTCTTCCAAGACTTTTTCTTATGGTTGATTTTTAGTTTCATAGTGTTGTGGTCAGAAAAGATGCATGGTATGACATCTATCTTTTTAAATTTGTTGAGGCTTGTTTTGTGGCCTCATGATTTTGGAGAATGTTTCATGTGCTCTTAAAAGGGATATGTTTTGCTATTTGAGGATGGAATATTCTGAATATATCTGTTAAATCCATCTGGTCCAGTGCGTCATTAAAACCATTGTTTCTTTTTTGATTTTCTCTTTAGATGATCTTTCCATTGATGTAAGTGGGGTGTTAAAGATACCTACTATTGTATTATTATTGATAAGTTCCTTTATGTTTGTTATTAGCCTTTTTGTGTATTTGAGTGGTCCCATGTTGGGTGCATAAATATTTATAATTATTATATTTTCTTGTTGAATTGTCCCCTTTATTATTACATAGTGTCTTTTTTTTTGCCTCTTGTTACAGTTTTTGTTTTAAAGTCTATTTTGTCTGATATAAGTATTGCTATTTCAGCCTTATTTTACAACTATTTCCATGATAAATGTTTCTCCATCTTGTCACTTTCAATGTATAGGTGTCTTTAGGTCAAAAATGAGTCTTTTGTAGACAGCATATAAATGGATTTGGTTTTTTAAATCCATTATGTCTTTTGATTGGAGTATTTACTCCATTTACATTCAAAGTAATTATTGAGAGATATGTATTTATTGCCATTTTATTACTTGTTTTGTGATTGTTTCTGAATATTTTCCCTGATCCTTTCTTGTCATTCTCTCTATCATGTTTTGCTAATTTTCTTTAGTGATATGTTGGGATTTCTTTCTTTTTATCCTTTGCACATTTATTAGTGCCTTTTGATTTGTGGTTACCATTAAGTTTGTATATAACATCTTCTGCATATAGCAGTCTATATTAAGTTGATGGTTGTTTAAGTTTGAACACAGTCTTTACTCCTCTCCTCCCCACATTTTAGGTATATGTTGTCCTGTTTTACATCCTTTTATTTTGTGAGTTCCTTGATTGATTTTTATAGAAATATTTATTTTTACTGCTTTTGTGTTTCCTACCTTCATATTGTCATTTTTAATCTTTCCTTTCACCTAAAGAGTCCACTTTAATATTTCTTGTAGTTCTGGTTTAGTGGTCATGAAGTTCATTA